TGCATAGTAACGACGTATTAATTACATAATTACTATCGTAACTACATAGTTACTATGCATTATTAAGGAATTTAAGTTTCTGTATAGGATTCCAGACGGGAAAAAAAAAAAAATCTTAAACAATATACTTACCTAGGTAGCGTTACGTTGTAGCGAGCTAAATGTGCTATTCGTGTTGGAATTATGTTTAAAAAAATGTGCTAATTTACTAAACTAATGTAACGTAATGACACGTGAGTTAATTAAAACATTCTGATGCATTAGAGTAGTAAAGATGAGAGTTTAATTATGAGTTGGAATTGAGACTTCTATTTTTTTTAAAAAAAATTATTCTGGTACAGTACAGTTCACTACGCATTGTTGAGATATCTTTGATTAAAATTTAGTATTGATTAAAATAATATTGACAAATTGAAGTTCAAATAATGGAATATGTCAAATAATTCAAATATTTAAATTCAAACTTTGTTTTGAGGAGCAATGCCGGCTAGTCTAGTATAGAAAGGGTGTGGGTTAATATATATATATATATATTATAAGGTAAAAAAAAACGCAGTTTACTTACGCTCTAGTGTAATAATGTGAATTTAATTCATGTTTGGAATTATCGAGACTTCTGTTTAAATAAATAAAAACATTTTATGTGAATTTAATTTTGTTATATCGGAATTGATTTCCTTAAAAAAACACATATATATACATCCTGAAATGTCGTAATTTACTTACTAGAATTATGTTGGAATTAAGACAAAGGTTTAAAAAAAAAATTCTGACGAAATTTATTTACTCACTGGTGTTATTTGTAGTAAAATTAATGCCATCTAATTTAATTAGAATATGTTATTCTTGTGCTTAATTATCGTTATTGATTTGCCTCAAGTGACAACTGAGGTACCTCAGATATTAACTATTTGGCTGACATTAATTAATCTGCACCGATTTGCCTAAACTACAACTACATTTTCATCCTAACTCTAATTCTGGACCTTTAATCCTTCACCATCATGAAGACAAATGGATCTGTTAGATTTCGATTAGAATTACTTTATTCTCAAGATAAACCTACTAGTGTAGTATCTGCCCTACACAGATATTCACCTAGTCTTCAGTAATTTCTGATATAGTATTATCTAATTTAAGTCAATTGATATCTGAGGCACAACATAGTCTTTAAATATCAAATTATCAAATAAATGAAAGCCTGAATTATATTCTAATGCTTACGTTCTTTTAATTTACTGATCGACATAACCTGGCACAGATTTCAGACGTGCAAAAAATATATTCTTGGACATTATACATACTCACTGAGTTTCATAATGTGTTATTTGTGTTATAATTACAGTATCAAGACTTCTATGTAAAAAGAAGTGCTTATTTTCTTACAAACTAGTGTAATATCGTAATGACACGTGAGTTAAATAAGAAAAATTCTGATACAGTTTACGCATTAGAGTAGCAACGTACCGGTATGTGAATTTGATTAGCGTTGAGTCTTTTGTTTAAAAAAAAATATTTTGATGTAGTTTACTTACCGACTAATGTATTGTTATTATAGTAATTACGTGAGTTTGATCAATTCTGTGTTGGAATTGGGACCTCTGTTTAAAAAAAAAAAAAACTCTGGTACAGTTCATTTACAGGTTAGTGCAGTGTTATTATAGTAACATAATTAATATAATTATGTAATTGAGATTTCGTGTAAAAACTTTCTAATACAGTTTTATTTACTGACTAGTGTAGTGTTATTGTAGTAATGTATGAGATTTTAATTAATGTTGTGTTGGAATTGAGGTATCTGTTTGAGAAAAACTCTAACACAGTTCACTTACTAACTAGAGTAGTATTATTGTAGTAACATATGTGAGTTTGATTATTATTGTGTTTTAAAAAAAAATTTTTTTTTGATATAGTTTACTCACGCACTAGCGAAGTGTCATTGCAGAACGTATGTAAGTTTAATTAATTCTGTGTTGGAATTGAGACTTCTGTTTAAAGAAAAACATATTCTGATATACAGTACATATTTACCGCCTAGTGTAGTGTTATTGTACAGTAGTAACGTATGCGACAGCTGTTTTCAAAATAGTTGAGAGTACAAAAAAAAACAAATACTTGAATATTCGAATATTTGATTAGTTTAAACTAATCAAACATTCAAGTATTCGAGTATTTGCAAAAAAAAATTTTTTTGTACTCTCAACTATTTTGAAAACAGCTGTAACATTACGTAAAAAAAATAATCTGATACAGTTTAAGCGTAGTGTTTGGGTTGAAATCGAGATTTCTATTTACTGCGCTTTTCAATTACTGTGATCAGCAGATCACCCATCACAGAAAATTTTGACACTTTTTCATGAATAAATCTAATTAACATGTTAGAAATAAAAAATTCTCAAGATTCCCCATTATATTTCGATTATGTAGTACATCAGAACTGGCAGTTGGTTTGTCGAAACGATATCAAAATTCCCACTAACTAAAAAGAAATCTCCGGAAATTTTGATATTACTTTGTTATAATAACTGTCAGATCTGGTGTACTATTAGAAGTGATGGTGGAGAATCGAAATATAGTGGAATTTTTATTTCTAGCCAAAATTTCAGTGATGGGCGAACATTTGTTGATCACAGTAATTTGAAAAACGCAGTAATATAGTATATAGTATATATGGTTGCTTACAAACTGGTGTAATGTTATTATAATGTGAGATTGGTTAATATTGCGCTGGGAACAATCGAGACTTCCGTTTAATATATATATAATTTGCTGTAAACGGCCATATAAAAGACCCGGGTCTGTTTTAAAGCTTATTAGACCCAGGGTCTAGTACATAGCTGAGAGTTTGTATCATCGGAAGTAAGAATTTGAAATGCATACACACTTTGCATTTGTAACATGCAATCTAGATGTTTGAAAAGAATTGCGCTTCAATCAAGAAGATCCTGAGATCTGCACATGGGTCTAGTACTTTGTGAAAATTATAGGTCTCTAACAGGAAATTTTCATAGCAAAGCGCTAATTTAGCTTCGTACTATTAACGAGGTTTCGATGAGGTTTTTTGACTAAGTATGAAAATTATAAAATTTTCATACTCAGTCAAAAAAGCCTCGTCAAAACCTCGTTAATAGTGCTAGTAAGAAGCAAATTAGCGCTTTGCTATGAAAATTTCCTGTTAGAGACCTATATTATTAATAATTTACGCCAAATCTAGATATTTTGTCGCTTTCGCAAAAATGTAAGATTTCTGCAAAGTACCCGTTGGGTCTACTATTAGGGAGGATCTTTTATATGGCCGTTTACAGTACTTACGTACTAGTTTAGTGTAATTAAAATAACGTATTAATATTGTGTGAGAACTATCGGGATTTATGTTTAAAAAAAAAAATTTTTTTCTGATAAAGTTTACTTACCGATTAGTATAGTGTTATTGTAGTAACGTGAGTTCAACTAATGTTATGTTGGATCGAATTTCTGTTGGAAAAAAAAATATTGATACAGTTTACTTACTCACTAGTACAGTGTTATTGTAGTAGTGTTTGATTTATGTTATGTTAGAATAGAAGTTTCTGTTAAAGAAAACAATGGTCTGATGCAATTCACTTATCAATTAATGTAGTGTTAGTGATAGAGTTTGATTAATAACGGTAATGTTGCGTTGAATCAAGTCAAATTACTGTATAGTATCATTCTGCCAATTTTAGTATACTATACGTACCAGTGTTTTGAACCGTCAACCGAAAGTTCAACCCGGGATGATCCGGGTGGATTGCCGGGCAATTGATTTACATCAGCCAATCAGACGAATGTCCTTCCATGATCTAAATTCATCGATATAAGTTCTAAATTTTAAGGAATTAATTTTTTTTAAAAAAATGTCAATCTGCTTGATTTCTATTGATGACAGCCCATATGACTCAAGTTATAATTACAACAACTAAGTTTTATTAATATTAGCCAAAACTGCATTGAAAATTATAATCAACAAAAAATCATAGTGAAAATCTATAAAAAGTATTATAAAAATATTTTATTTATTTATGTAATATAAAGTATAAAAATATAGAACAAATCAGTATGAATCAGATGAAAATATTGAAACGGTTATCTAACAACTAAGGAACCTTTAACTTGTTCGTGTATAGTAAACATTTAAAAAATGCCTAGCTTGTTTGAAGTAACTACTGTTGAATCTGAAATATCCAACTTATCCGAAGCGCGTAATCGCTTATTACTGAAAATCAAAAATTTATCGAATCAATCATTCGGTCAATTTTTTACCAGATGTCCCAAATTAATATACAACGAATAATTGATTTGACTAGAGGTCTGATCCTTTGAGTATCAGTTATGGCTATTCAATGAATATTTACAGGTTTTGAACATCCACGAGTAGTATTGAATGAATATCTGGATTTTATATGAATATTCAAAATGACTAAAAAGATTAGATTATTCACGACCTAAAAATAAGAAAAAAAAAACAAAGAATTACCTAGGCGTTTATGGCCATCGATTTTTTCCGACCAATGTATCAGAACAATGTTTTATATATTTATCCGGATTGCTATCAATCCATTCTTTCAAATCACTTTTATAACCTAATCTTTGGATTTCATAAATTATAATCACGAGATTGATTTTCACGTTTTTTCAAAACTGCAGTACATATATAATGTAACACAAATATTCATTTTAAGGAGTTGATCAAAATAAAATAAGGATCAACCCTTAATTAACGTTAACCGGTCTTTTCAGGACCAACCCTAATCTAGATAATCAGAACGCGTCAAAAAAAGGTATATATGATCGTGTTTAATGAGTTTTATCATAAGTGTTTTTTTTTTTAATTCACACGAGTAACAAAAATCCCAAAACACTATACACCAAACTCTTCGCGACATAACGGAATGGAAAAGAAAAAAAAAACAACCAATTTTTTAAATCTCGAAACTATACTGACGAGGTAGTGGTGTTAAAATCTTTAATCACTCCAAACCATGGACCTTATAAAGAAAGACTGTGGACCCTGTAAAAAAAGAGGGAAGCGTAAAAGATCCAAAGTCAGAAAGTTCGAACAAAAACAAAAAAATATATTTTGAAAACATAAAAAAATACACTGAACTTATTCAAATGCAATCACAATTATGAAGCCATAGAAAAAATTGAAACAAAACTCCAACTCTATGACCTTAAAAAAGAAGTTGAACATTTAAAAAAAGCGAACGTAAACTTAATCAAAGCAATGAATTTAAACAAAGCGTCAAGTTCCACCTGCACCTCTAGTATATACGTACAGTAGTGTTACAAATCGTCAAAATTTTTTCAATCGATTAATTGAGTAATTATTTTTTAAGTTGAACAACCAGTTGCAACTAATCGATTGATCGATTAAGTGCAACTAATTAATTAAAGAGTTAAATAATTTTTCAATCGATTAGTTGTCAACTAACCAACTAATCGATTTTTTCAACTTTCGATTTGTAACACTAACGTACGGTACGTAATTTAATATCAAGATTACATACATATTCTCTGGTTGAATCCAGAAATATGATACTTCAAAACACACGAACCTAGTATCCTCTAAAAAAAAGTTACGTGTCTGAACTTAAATTTAAAATTTGCTTTAATTGTACATAGTAACAATGATGACGATTATTATTGTGTTTTTTAATTGTCAAATTTTAATCAATATATACAGTCAGACCTTCCTAAATGCGCGTCGCCGGGACCACCTTTAGAGCGTGCATTTAGGGAGGGCTGCAATTAGAGAACACTAATAAAATCGCAATGTTACTGTTAGCACGTGAGAATATGGCTTTAGTAGCCTTGAAATAACGACCGGTAATCACGTGAATGCATTTATGGAGGGAGTTTTTATAAGTGGGCCAGACAGTTAGAGTGCACTTACAGAATAAAGAACGTGCATTTATCTATAAGTCCCACCATGGGCCCGGGCTTATATCATGCATTTAGAGGGGTGCTGCATTTAGGGAGGGTACATTTAGAGGGGTCTAACTGTATAACCTTTTCTTTTAATTTTAATGCTATTTATTAATTATACAATGTCAAACGAAACAATCAAGTATTTGAAGATTTTTCTAAGGAAAAAGGTTGTTGTAATAAGTGTTTAGAACGGGCAGGAGCAAATTCAAAATGATATGAAAAAGAAACGAATAAAGATTTTAATACAAGAATATTATATACTTTCAAGTGATTTAATACAAGCTATCCACAACTCTTTAATTTCAATACCGGAAATTGATGAAACTTAGAGGGTTAAGTGGTTGATTTTACGGAATTTTAGGTTTTCAAAAAAACAATTTATCCGAATGTCTAATGTATAAATACTAAATCTTTAATACCATACAAAAAAAATATTAATAAGGTTTTATATAGGCAAATGCTTTATTTCCAAGTTGTCTGAACTTCTTCAGCAGAAAAAAATGGCTAAAAATATTAATCAATTTAAATCGATCGAACAAATGGTTATTTATTTAAAAGGGCTTGAGAATGCAAAAAACATGAACGGCAAGAAATAAAATATATTTTATTGGAAATGATATAATGCAGTTTTTTTTTTTTTGTTTTTGTTTTTTTTTTTGCTATTGCAATTAATATAATGGGCGAGCAATTTGTCAGAATAGCTAATAATCATTAAATTGCATGGATTTATTTTGCAAATATTCATAACAATCGAAAGAATTAATATATATGTCTGAATTCGAATTTCACATTTAAGCAAAGTGTAATGGGAAATATGAACTTGAATTTGAAAATGAAACCTCTGTTCGGTGAAATTTAAACTCAGATACTAACTTTTTTTTAGGTCATACTATGGAGGTTCTTCAAACCATCTTCGCTGGCAAATAATCACTGTAATCTACCGCAGTAAGTATGTATAGGAAATATCTGAAAATTTTGGAGAATTCGGATTATAAGTACTTAATATGCAATGATTTGACTTAGTCAATTTTAAATATCAGCTATAAATTTATACCGACTACAAACACTAGAATTTGTTCTTCAAATAAAAAGTCACAAGAGATATGCACGAATCTCATTCACTTTCAGCTTTTGTTAAACAAAGTAATATGCACGAACCTCGTTCACTTTCGGCCTTCCAAAGCAGAATCTTGTTCCAAAATAGTAAGACTATATGAGTTTGTCCTTCGTACAAGGAGTACAAGAAATATGCACGAATCTCGTTCACTTTCTGCTTACGTCAAACAAAGCAATATGCACCGCTTTGACCTATCTGATCTTTCCTAAAGATAATTAGGGATTGAACCTGCTTAACCATGTAAAAATTTTTTCATAGTGCCGGGTCGAATTACTGTATGTTGACCATGGGCCAGGAATATTCTAATGCCAGCTAAATTAAACATTACGGTTAAGAAAATTTTAGGCGGTTCCAATCCTTAAAAAACTACAAGATAGATAAACTTTAAACTTAATAAAATTTTTAATGCTTATATTTTTAGGTTTGTAAGCCTTTATTAGAAAATAATTTACTATACAGAAACTTAAATCTCTTAATGCGCAGTAACTGCATGTAGTTACGATTAAGTTTAATAGTAATTATGTAACTACTACATCGTTACTATGCAGTTACTGTGTATTAAGATATTTAAGTTTCTGTAAAGTAATATATTTTTTTTCAACTTTTTAATTGAATTAAATTGTTTAAATCACTATGACTTATAGTAAGGCAATATTTTCTTATCATTTATTATAAAACGCACCTATGGTGGTTTTGCATCTATCATATGTTTTATTATGTTTTTTGAATATAAAAATTTTCAACACAAAATTTTTATGTTAATATTAGAGTTTGGAACCGATCTTATTTTTCATATGTTAAACTCGGTTTTAATCGGGCTTAACGTACGAAAAATATAACCGGCTCCAAACTCTAGTTAGTTTTAGTATTTAGGGTTCGGTTTAAGGTTTGGGAAGGGGTTTTAAGGGCGTAGAGCACTTTTACTTAAAACATCTTGCATTGATTAATTAGCCAGTTTTTGAAATAATATATACATAGGTGTAAAACACTATAGTAAATGTCTTCCTTATAACTCGATTATTTTATTGATAGCTTAGAATTGTAAATCCCTAAGATTTATGTGATTTAAATATTAATCAGCTATAAAAAAATTATAAAATATTCATTTTCTTATAATTCGATTATTTTTATTGATAGCTTAGAATTGTAAATTCTTAAGATTTATGTAATTTAAATATTAGTCAGCTATAAAAAATTTATAAAATATTCTTTTCTTTTATTGTCAAACTAAAAAAGAATTTCTGCTTTTAAATGAAAAATTTCCATGCCTATTTATTGTTGCTAAAATTGTGTTAAAAATTGTTATATATTTTATATATTGATAAACAGAAATTAAGATACTTACTATGACTTTATAAATTCTTCAATAATTGGAGAAATATCCTTATCTTGCAATAATGTAATTGGAAATTTTGCCCGACGAAAAAATTCTTCTCGAACACCATCTTCTTTTAGCATTCTTATAACCTTAAGTAAATTTTTGGCGTAAAAGGAGTTTCGATAACGTCGCCTTGTTTTCGTTTTTTTAGCTTTATCAGATTCGTCGCTATTAGTGATGATTCCTAAAGATGCTTTATATTGCTTGATAATGAATTTATCATCATCATATGGATATTTTGCTAACAAATTTTTGATATAGACTAGATCGGCAAAAATTGGTTTTAATTGGAGATCTTCAATATATTTGTTAAGGCCGTTGCGATAATTTAACCAAACAACCGGATCTATTGTGCCCTTCGGAGGAAAAGAAGGTTCTGGATGATGAACGGATGGAACTTTAATTCTCTCATAATATTTTTTTTTCCAATCTTCTACCTTTTCTTCTACAACGTCGTCCATAGTTAGAGCAAAAAAAGGAAAGAGTTCTGATTTGAGAAAAATTATCGTAAATACATTTATATTATGTCATAACCCAAATTAGGAAATATTCCGCATGTTTGTACATACAAACTTATTTGATTTGGTTTGGAGAGGTCCAGATATTTCTAACATCTAAAATAGTGCTAGTAATATTACAACCACACAAACATTTTAATTCTATATATTTATAGAATAAAAATAAGACAAATTTTATCGAATTTAGGGTGTTCTCTCAATTTTATTTGATAGTGATTGAGATGATGCTTAATTATTACAATTAATCGAAAAAAAAAATAATGATTACAATCGTTGCTGAGCAGATCAACTCCATTATCGTTGTCTTCAGCGAAATCGTAGCAAAAAAAAAAAAAGGCGACTGTCCAACCAAAAAATGAACTCCTTCGGCAACACCAAGTGCCCAACTTCTTCTTTTACAGATTTTACGAATATTTATGTTGTTTACAACAGTATTCACAGCTTGTTACGCCTTTAACTTCGAACAAAACCAACGTTAAAATAATGGAACATTTAAATATTAAAATTTTTGATAAAAAAATAAAATAAAATAATTAATTATTTTGACATGAAAATTAGAAAGTAACAATTGTTAGCAAGTTTTGCTCTTTGAATTTCTTGGGATTTTTTATTGGCGATTAAGTGTTTCAAATATAAAAAGCATCAATTATAATTTCGCCAAAGATTCATGATATAAAGCAAAGTGCTTGAACAACACCTTTTTATACTCTATTAATAAGAAGTCTTAGCCAATCAGCACCTCTAAATTTTTTCAGTGAAGTGGCAGCTCACTTGAACAGTTTTGACTATTTAAAATTTTATTTTCTATCAATTGTAGAGAATAATGAAATCATTGATTAACATTAGAAATTAAAAATTTGTTCACGACCAACCTTTTTTTTATTTTGGTATAAAATTTGAAGAATCTTTATTAAAGATTTTAAACTCTAGCAGAACCATATAGAAGTCGTGTAACTTCGTCGGCGCTAATAGAATGCGAAATAGATTCTGACCGATGCAGGAGAATTTTGAAGATATCTGATCAGGTACAGTATGTTTTTTCAAAAAAACGAATTTTGAGAGTAGAGCCAGATGATGAGAAGTGCATACCGGTGGGAAGAAAATGCTAGTTCGGAGCCAATAGATGCCATAGCCATGCAAGAATTGGACTCTAATCCACAGACGCATTGGAGGCGTTTTTGGTTCACCTATGCGCGAAATTTTTTATTCATATGGGGCATTCGACCGTGGGAATCAAATTAATAATGATGGCCATTTATCAAATTTAATAATATATCTACATTTTTTTTTAGTTTGATGATGTATTTGAGGGATTTCGTAGCATACGCGAATGGAGGCAGAGATGAAATCTTTTAGTAATGATGAAATTAGAACAAATTTAAGGGAGTTAAAAGGCCGTCTTGCGATAAATATTCTTGATAACCAAAATACAAATTATATTCATTATTAATGTTGAGCCAAGCTAGCTCTTAACTTGAAGCTCTATGCTTTTAGAAAAGCAAGGCCATCCATGCTATACACTTACGGGAGGGCCTGAAAGATGTTACTGAGAAAGATGTGAGCTGGAAAGATACACTTAGAAGTCGAGTGATTAGCGATAGTACTGAGATAGTGCGTTAGTTGCCCCTATGAGTCCCAGATTACGTATACAACCGCAAGCTTCAGATGAGATTCGAGAAATGTGTGAAAAGTATGTGGAAAATTTTTCTGAAGATAACTTCAGAAATTTTATTGAGTAATTCGCACGATGGAAAGTGGAAAGAATCAGATGAGAATTTAAAAAAAGTTGCGAAAGTAATTCTCGATGCATTAAATGAGGTTGGAAAAAATCCGGTCTTTTCCTCTTAAATTTCCAAATCATTAAATGAGGGGACATATGTTACAGAGGTAATAGTAATCGTGCTTAGAGCTTCGCTAAAAAACCTTCCAATTGGAAAGACTGGTTTTATTACTATTGCGGATCGAGAAAGCTTAGCTAACAAGAACAGGTAAGGAAAAATATGAAAAAAACCCCAGATATATGTTTATGTTTAAGCATAAGAAAAAGAAGTATGAGTTGATGTATGGTGAATGTTCTCGATTGGTCTGTGACAAACAAAAAGAGGTGATGGACAGAACGAAGTTGTGGAGAGAGATTAAAGACGGGATGTTTTTGGGTGCACAAGGGGTGTTCACCAACAAAAGAGGAATCTGGCATTGTTAGTATTCAGGTAACAGGCGTTCGACTATACCTGAAAGTCCTCATAAGAGATGAGGATGAGATACATCGCCTTTACGAACTGCGATTTCCCACTATTCCAGTGAAACCTTCAAATAGTGATATAGTGTTTGACTTTGTAGAAACACTTTTAATATTACGGGTATGTTTCAAATTTTCACTGTGTAAGACTGAATTCTTCGTAATCCAGTTTATTTCTACAGAACATTTTACTTGTCAATAGCTCTGATATTTAATGCAGAGACAAATCTCAGAGTTCAGAAGATGGTTCAAATGTATTAACCTCTCCACGTTAATTTTTGCGTTCCTGTTTTTTATTTATTTTTATATCAATAAAGTCTGGCCCTGGTGATTCAACTTCGCGAGATGATTAGAATTTCTTTATTATTTTATAATTTATCTTTATTTTTTTTATATCAATAAAGAAAGCCCCGGTGAATGTTTTCGCATATATAACCAGCTTACTTTTGCATGTATTTAGTGAATTTATTTTATTTATTGTCATCAATGTATATTAACTCGCATATGATCGAGAATTTTTCTTGACCGGGGCCTCCCGGCTGAAATTTTATCACGTGGATTCATATCTTTACGATAAAGCATTAAATATCGATCCAATATCGATCTAATATAAATGACTTATATTAAAAGCTCAAAATTGTAAATAAAAATATTGTGCCAATTCTGGCAAGATAATTTCCTGACTAGCAATGGTAAGTAATCAAGATCAAAAAAAAGTGTATACCGATACCGAATAATAGAACTGACCGAAATAGAAACCACTTAAAATGATGAATTCGCAAAAATAAAAAATAATAGTGATGGAAATAGTGAAATAATCTGTTAATTGGCAATTCAGATAACTGTCTAAAATCCAACTACTTGAATTAAATACTCGAAACTGTAGTTAACTGTAGCCAACTATTTGAATAGTTAAATACAAAAACTATAGTTAACTATAGTTTATAGTTCTGTATTAACTATGCATACTAGATTGTCAATTTATTAAATATAGATTCAATTTTGTGTAATCTATATTATATAAATTTGAGCAATTTTGTATTATTAGATTGAAGTAATTTTTTTATAATCTTATTTTTTATTTAATTTTATTTTTTTACTAAATTAAATAAATTATAAAATATTTTGTTTTAAAAAATATTCTAAATGCAAGATACTTCAAGAACAATAAATCTAGTGATTATCACACTTAAAATAATATTATTTGTTTATTAGTATATACTAACAAATTAATCTATAATCTAACTCTAACACTAATTCTAATTTAGGCCAAGCGTTTAATCATATAATGTAATAACTACGAAGATATCACTAGGTTTACTGTTTTTGAATTATTTCGAAATGCTTATTGTCACGGACTAGATTCACCATAGTCAATCAAGTTTATAATTTAGAGCCGAAGGCTTAGACAATCTGCGATATATCTCGGCCGATAGAGATTAAGCCACTATACTATAAGGTGAGATCTGTTTAAGCCTTATTAGTCCTTTAAAGTTATAAAAAGGACGTAACTTAGATAAGGTCGGTTCAGCTCACTTCACCGACGCTCGTTTCGTAGAAATAACATTTCACTGACAACCATTCACCGACATGTTATTTCAC